ATTGGGTTGGGATGTTTTCGTGATGCACATTTTCTTTACATAAAACTCTCTCTTATACATGAGTTGCTGTGGATTTCTTTCTCCAAAGTACCTAGACTAATACACTAGTACACTTGTCAACTCTGTATCTAGGAGATACAACATCAGAGTGAACAAGCTAGCAGAGGATATTTTGTTTTAATCTGTGACATACTATTTAAGAGCAGTGCAGGAAGCAGGGAGTGATATGATAAGAGGAAAAGAGCTTTTCATCTAAAAGAGGGTAGGCTGTGTTGTGAGAGCCCTGGTAATTTTTGCATGTGCCCTATACAAAAGGGTCAGTCCCTATTCAATAACCCAGTAGGGCAGAGTAAAATCTTTGAAGCTGTAGACCTTAATAGAATCAGATGGCCTTGTCTTACTCCAGCACCACAGCTGATGGGATGGAATGGTCAGCCTTTCCATTAACAACATAATGTTTAACCCACAGTGCCTCCAGCTCTCCTTACAAAAGTGTATAGGGAAGGCATTTTTATCTTTACATTAACTCTGAGACCAAATGATCCTTGTATTATTTGTTGCTTTGTTTTGATTTCAGCTCATGGTGATTCTCTGAGTTGCACACAAACATGAAACACTTCGCTGCCTTACTCTGTCCTTAGCAATTGTTATGTTTGAGCTATTGTAGCTGTGTCCCAAGACATGGACTCAGTCAGCTCTCAGTTACTTAGTTCCTTGTCTACTCCATTGAGCCAATACTTGCTCTGAAGGTTGCTACAAAAATGTGGAAGGGAGAAATATAAGTAATTGTAAATTTAGGCAGTTCTTATGTCTTAGGAACCCTAAGCATGTTATTAAGTAGATAGGGATTAACCTTTTAAATGTTATGTTACGTATTGCTTTACAGTTTTTCAGTATTTTCCCCATTCATTCTCACAGCATACTGATCTAGTAAGCAGACCAAGAGGCATTTTATAGATGAAGAATCTCTATTTTGTGTTTTTGTTCCCTTTCTCCTATTACTAAGATCAAAAATTGACAAATTCATCATTGGAACTCAGATCTTACCAATTGTCCTGTTAGTCTAAAGAAGCTGTAATTCCAAGTGAATAATATTAATGGAGCTAGGAAAATCTCTGACAAATGAAATGTTCCATTTACTTCAGATTATGACCCTAATATGCTATGACTAAGGACAAAGCAGTTAAATATTGACCATTCCACTTAATAAAATTGGAATAAAACATCTATTTAATATCAATAAATTCAACTGAGTCCCCATTTAACAACACATGGCAATTAGAATCTTGCTTTTAAGCTATGTATGTTTTTAGGTATTTCTTTAATAGACTCATTTCTCTATTTGTGTGAAATTGCGTTTTAATTCTAAAGAATTCTTCTCAAATAGTTGCTGACTGACATAGACCCAGCAAAAGTACCATTTTTGCTTTACTCTTATCATCTTAAACTAAAGAATAAATTATTTTTATGTGAATACAATTTCCTATAGTCATTAAGTTAAAACGTATTTATTTCTCATTTTTAGACATCTGGCATTTAAGAAGGCGATGGAGCTCATCAGAGTGTGTCACTGAAGGCTGTGATGGCTGAAAACAATGTAAAGATGCTAAAGATTCAACAGCCCTCTGTAGCCAACAAAGTACCTAGAAACAGGCCATATAGTTGCAATATTTGCTGCAAGCACTTTGAGACACCATCAAAATTAGCTCGACATTATCTTATTCATACTGGCCAAAAACCATTTGAGTGTGAAGTGTGTCATAAAACTTTCAGGCAACTAGTTCATCTGGAGAGACATCAGTTAACTCACAATCTGCCTTTTAAATGTAGTATTTGTCAACGCCACTTTAAAAATCTGAAGACATTTGTGAAGCACCAACAGCTTCACAATGAAACCTACCAGAAGGAAGTTAAGCAGATCAGAAGGCTGGTGGAGGCCAAGCAAGAAAAGCCAGTTTATGGAGTGTATCGAACTTTTACCACAGAGCCTGCAAAGAAAAGGAGGAAGCATGTTCACACTTGTACAATCTGTGGCAAGATGTTTCCATCACAGTCAAAACTCGACAGACATGCACTTATTCATACTGGTCAGAGACCTTTTACATGTATCCTGTGCAGTAAATCGTTCCGACAGTCAACTCATTTAAAAATTCACCAACTCACACATTCAGAAGAAAGGCCCTTTCAGTGCTGTTTTTGTCAGAAGGGATTTAAGATTCAAAGCAAGCTTCTGAAGCATAAACAAATCCATATCAGGAACAAGACTTTGCAGACTTTGTCATTAAAGGTAGAGAGTCCAGGATCATGTCCTGTGCCTAGTAAATTAAGTGCAAAGCAGGGTGGTTTTGAAGCTGGTGCTATGGGTGAGTCAGTGGAGAATACTCTACTCGATGTCCACTCTATTTACGTAGTCCCTTTTCAATGTCCTGAGTGTGAAGAATGTTTTGCATCAGAGCAGAGTCTCAGTGGACACAAGTGTTTCCCTCCCAGAGGTGGCAAAGTTCCAGGCAGGCTCAAAGGAAGCCACAACTATAAAACTGGTGTTAGGAAAATCCTGACCAAGCTTAAACGTGCTGGGGGTAAGAAATTAGATAACTTTCAATCAGAGAAAAGCGTTTTTAAAACCAGTTTCTTGAAAAATCATCTTATTTCTGGTGAGCTGAGTTCTGAGCAAATGCAGAGGACCTTCATGGGTCCTCTTGGCAAACATGGAACCTATAAGACAGTTGGCAATAAGAAGAAAAAATCATTGATGTTGCCCTTTTCTTGGCAAAAGCAATTCCAGAGCCACCATGTGGGGGGAAATTTGAAAAGTGCCCTGACCACACAAAGCAAGTTACCGCTGGGTAACTCGGTGAATAATAAAGATGTATCTGTGTATGGCTCACGAAGCGAGGTGCTCTTCGATACTTGTCAGAGACTTCCTCTTGGCTTTTCAGTTCCCAGTGACAACATACATATCGGACATAAAACGTGTGCTTGTGACAAATGCGAGAAAGTGTTTCCTTCTACATCCAAACTACAAAGGCATTACTTGAGCCATACTGGGCAGAGGCCCTTTGGCTGTAATATTTGTGGGAAATCTTTTAGACAGACAGCTCATTTGAAAAGACATAAATTGACTCATAGGGAGAAGATACCGTACAGACGATCTCTTTGCCAAGTAGAATTTGAAAGTTTGAACAAACTTTCCAGCCGTCCAGGTGATACTCGTAACTGTACCTCTTCCCAACCACACCGGGCTCTTGGTTTTCAAACATACAAGGTCTCGGAATCAGTGAATGTGAAGGCAGAGTCCGAGGATTCGACCCTTGGCACGCTCTGTGGGAGCAGACCATCCTCCCTCTCCGGTGCACGCCTGGAGTCAGAGCAGAGTCATCCAAGTCGTCGTTGCGGCTACTCGGGGCAAGCTGAGAGAAATGACGGCCTCCTGTACCAGTGCAGTGTTTGCTCAAAAAGTTTCAGATCTCCATCGAAACTGGAAAGACACTATCTGATTCATGCTGGGCAGAGGCCATTCGAATGCACAGTTTGTGGCAAAACCTTCAGACAGGCTCCTCACTGGAAGAGGCATCAGCTCACTCACTTTAAAGAACGGCCACAAGAGAACATGGTTGCCTTAAGTCCAGTTATGTAACAGCACAGTCAGAACACAGCTGTGGTCTATGGCAGTCCTGTTCTTAAAACCTTTATCATTGATGATGTATTCTTATAAAAAAAAAAACCCACATCGCAGTGGATGATTTCATAGGCAGTTGCTTGACCTGCATGATGAGGTAATATACAGGAAATGTAACACAATTTTTTTAGGGTAGCTAAATTAATTTCTAGAGGGAAGTACATGGTCTGATGCTCTAACGTAGCTATTTATTGTACTTGAAGATTGTAAGTATATACTTTGTATGAAAGTGTTATAAATCCATGATGGTGTATAAGTGATACAATCTCATTTGTTAAAAATTATTCGATAAGCTGTCTCCTGCAGGATATTTTCAGAAGACGGAAGTAAAAATTCGTAACAGCCCCCATCTATTTTATCATGAATGCATAATTTTGCCCATCTGTGATTTTGATTCTGATACAGATTCTTGTAACTTGAAAAAAAAGGAAAATAATAAAAATGGCAATGTATGCGAGAATTGCAGCATTCTTCATTAGTGTCTTGAAAGCCATTTATGTTTACAACTATGGTTTCACCTCCTTCCTATTCGTCAGATGAGGAAATAGTTTTGGTTCCCCAGCCTCGTCCTATGCTGCTGTTGTCTTTAAGAAAAGAATTTTCAGAACAACATAGAGATTAGGATGTACTGTAGTTACCACCTTCACAGGCCAGAAAGTTTCCAGATGTCTTAATCTTTTTGCTAATATGTGCGCAGTTTAATGTTGCCAGAGGAATGAGTCGTGTATTTATTTACTTGTGGTTGACAGCAGTAGTCGCAGTCTCCACTCGTCTAGAGACCTGCATCCCATGAGATTTACTTCCATGCGGTGTTGGATGCCTATGACACCTAAACCCATAATAGTCAATGGATCAATAGCACTGACCTAGTATTAGTTTTTATTGCAATATAATGCTTTTTAGGAATGTTATTTTTATTCTTAATAAGTTAATTTATGGTTTAAAAAGGCAATGATTTCTATATAGCAATACCGCTGCCGGCACGTGTGGGTCAGGCATTGCACTGTTAGTGATGGGTTGGCATTTCAAGCCCACATGGCTGTTGTGTGGGGGAAAGATGAGGCTGTCTGCTCTTGTTAAGATTTCATTTTCTGGTGACCCTGAGTTGGACTTGACTCAGTGGCAGTGGGTATGTATAAGGAAGATGCTCATATCGAAGAACTGTCATTCTTCACAAGTATTTGGGAAATATTTAATCCTAAGCTATAATGATTTATCTTACAAGCACAAACTCTTTCCTATATGCCATTATATATAAAATCTTTTTTTTTAATATATAAAATCTTTAATGAGAAGTTACTTACATAAAATAAATTAACCATGGTATTTATATAAAGGAAGACTAGGTACTGATAAGTATTTTTCCTAGCACCCTTAAATATAGGGAAAACCTTTATTACAATGTGGATAAATGAGCAAATTTGGGGGATGGGTGTGGTAGTCTTATTTTTTAAATATAAATGTATTTTGAGTAATAATGGGTTTAATAGATAAACAATGATGACACAGGTAAAATACCCAAAAGTGTGAAATGTACCTTTTCTTTTTAACGTATTCAGACAAGGGTGTCCAGCTAAAGCAGAAGAGAAAGAATTAATAGCTTTACAAAACAGTATCTCTTGGGTTTTCTCAAAATATGCCCCTCCAGAATAAGCAAGATGGTGTTTAGGGTTTGCTTTAGCATAACCTTACAGAACACATCTGTAACATAAAGCAAGGGGCTAGTTCATTTTCCCTAGAATACTTACATAAATATCCAAGGCTTTTTTTCCCTTAGAATGTTTGAAATTATGTATTTTCCTAAGCTATTTTTATAATTTTATTGAAGGAAATGTCTTTTTCCAAATGGCAGAAGTCTAATGTATGATTATGAGACTTCATTTGCTTAAGTGATACTATTAAACTTTTTTTTGTCCATGGCTTTGTAAGCGGTTTCATATTGAAAGTTGGAATATTGTAAAAAATTTGTCAAAGATGTATTGTAGTGCTGTTTGAGTACCTGTAACAAAATACTTATTTACTGTTGTTATTATTATTACAAACTTCTTGTGGAAACTTTATAGGAATGAAAATAAGCTACACGTGAAGAATAAATTTATGTATTAAATAGCAGTGCTGCATGTTAGAACTGTTAGTATTGTTGAATCAATTACTTTGGTTTTTGAAGAGAGCGAGTAGAAGGTTGTGTTTGGGTGCTTCCAGGCCACAGCATGATTATTTACTAAAGTAGTTTGATTGGCTGAGTTAGTAGAATTATTGCTTCATGTTTTGTACTGGGATTTGCTTACCATTTTATGATTCAAATGTGACTGTTACAGGGAACCGTAGATGGTGGTTAAATTCTTGAAAAATTCAAATTTCAAATATTTTTAAAAATAAAATTTCAAGTTATGCATTTCGGATGTATTTTATTAGAGGTGGTAGAGCTGGGGAGGCCAGTTAATTAGAAATAACCGTGGGACATGGTACTGGTTGCCAAACTCTTGCCTGGGCCCACTCCAATCCATCTTCCACTTTGACTTTCCTAACAGATATAGTGTACTTCTTGCTTCACAATACATTTCTTTGACTATTTCTTATCACCTACAAGAGAATATGTGAACTCAATTGCATGCCTTATGATTTTCTTACCCCTTCATCCTCTCTGGCTTTCCAGATTTCTGTTTAAGAAATATAGAATTTGTTCTTATAATGCTTAAGAGGGAGCGCGCC